AAAAGTCAAGTACGTTAAGGTGCGCTGACTCTGAGCTTCAAATTTGGCAGGTCACAAGTTTGATTCCTGGTACTTGCAGTCTCAAAAGTTATTTACGAATAAATAAATACAAGAATTATTTCCAAGACCACTGATAATGGATATTTGGTAATACTCGAAACAGCTGTATGGTCAGCCAAAAATACAATTAATTAAAATAATAAAAAATGAATTTTTGTTGTTGTAGTTCACTACTGTTCGAAAAACCTCATTATATTTTAATCATAAAAATTACTATGTATAAATAGGGTTATTTGTTACAATTGACCTCGATTTGTTATTAAAAATCTTAATGTAATCGTGTATTATAATATTACTGTAAATATTATAACAATAATAATAACAATACAATAATAAAATAATAATATACAATAGTATAATAATATTATAACGATTAAAGTCAGTGATCAAATAAGTTAAGTAGCTATAACTAATTTCTTAAAAAATGAAACTAATAGATCTATAAGTATTGAATGCATCATGCGATATGTTTAAATAGATTAATAAACGAATGACGAATGACATCCTCCCAGACGTCAAGATTGATCCGATCAAAAAATACATAAAATACATACATATCCATATGATTACAGACTCCTCGGGGAGGTATGCAGATCTAAGTTCAGTTATTGCTTAGTCAAATGAAGTGATAAACAATAATCCAGTCAAGGCGTAGAGAGGGGTTATAAAGAAACTTCGCAGTTAATAGAGAGTAAACGTGTTCAAGTGCACTGACTCAATTAGCCTCAACATAATAATAATGCTAAGTCATCCAACAGATAGATAAGTTGCATCGAGAATTGGATCAAAATTGTGTATAGTTCGATATATTTTATAAAGAACATGAGAGAGCACTTCCTATAGGGTTTGTAGTGAAAACCAATTTTATTTCTGTTTTGTATTCCGATTAAATTGTGCTCTAAATGAAGTATCTAAGGGTTGTCTAAGTCTTTTTTATTTCTACAAATCATTCAAAACGCAAACTACATAAATTATCATAATGAAATATCAGATTTCAGAGTTCAATAAAAAGCACTTACCTTTACTTTTCGGTAACAAAATCAATCAGATTAGATAAGTTCTACTAAGTGTTTATAAATATTCTAATTAACTGAATAAAATTTCTCCGTGGTGTTAATTACAGATTAAATTATTTTAAATTTTGTTGTGTTGTGTCGTGTCGTGCGTTTATTGTTATTTATTTTATCAAATCGAAAACAATATTTTGTTTAATAGACTTTTTTAAATGTCACCTGAAACGTCATAGTTCCATTTTATTGCCTACTGCGTGTTTCATATATATTTATAAATATTTTTGTGTTTAAATTTTAATTTATTTATTTTATTACAATTATGTATGTTCTATATTTTATTATTTTATATACATATATATTTGTATGTACATTTATAATTTCAAATGTTGAATCTGTCCTTTCTTCTTGGCATATATTCAAAATAAATATATATTCTCTTTTGTATTATACATGAATGATTTCTGAGAAGAATTGTATATATTAAAAAATTACGTAAATCATTTATAGTATTCTGTACGATAATTTATCACAGATTTTCTCGTAAATATTGTACATCCACTTTTAGTTTCAATTAATGCAAATTGCATCGGATTTGCTGAACTTGACCGATAATCGCTATCGTTTGCAACGAAATGAATTTATCTGCACGTATTTAGCGAAGCTTTTTCATTCATGAGTTCATTAAGTATCTGCGTTCCTACAGTTACAGAATTTCAGATATAGATACTTTCAATTTAAGCACTGTTAAGCGCGCTACAAACGCTAAATTCCGGCAACCACTTCAGTTCACGCGCAGCACTCGACTAAGTAAATTTCACGATATTCTCACTTGTTTATTTGAAAGTTTGAGTATCTTTTTTTGTCATCATTCTGAACTCTTTGGGTTTTAGTGCCGATCGAAACTTTTGCCTCCGGTTAACTAACTTGTTTTATATGTTCTTCCCGCTCAAAGTTCTGAGTAAATGCTTTCAATTCAGCAAATTGACGGCTGATATGCTCTCCAGTCGTTTCGCACACATTAAATTGCTTCGGAATTAAGCGTAAAAATTTGCATAAAGATTTTTTAATTGAAATAAAAAATTGAGTCAGCTTTCATTCGATATCTGCGTTTTAGTTTTTCAAAAAGTATCTTTTGAGAATTTCCAAATGTGTGATTTATTTTCGCCTCTTAATAAATACACTATATCGGATAGAAGAATAGATAGAAGCCTGTCATAAGGAGTTGTGTTCAACACAGTAATTTGGAGATAAGTAAGTATCTACAAATATAGAAACTCATGTGAAGTGCCACTAACAACTATAGTACACTTAAGTCGTACGATTCTGAAGTACGACATAACACTTCTACAGTTAAAATGTGTTATTTACATTATATGTTGTAATGTAACAGGAAAATTCATTTTTAAGAGAAAATCTGTGAACAGCTATAATTTTGAACGAACTATTATTGGAATAAACACTGAAATATAGTTTATATATTGTTAAAGTTAAAGTATTTTAGCCAAATACAATTTCAAACGACCTATGAGAAACGAAATTAAAAAGCGCAAATAGGAATGGATCGGTCACATTTTGCGTAGACCGACTGGTGACACCACAAGAATGGCGATTGAGTATTTTGAACTGTTATATTAATATAAAACTATTATGTATTAAAGATTCTATGAACGCGAGTCTTGATCTGAAATATATTATCAACAATAATTTAAAATTTTTGTTTAAAACAATAATTTTCACTTAGCTCGTAGTATTCAAGATATATCAATTATTAATAACTTTCAAATTGTAGTTCTCAATAGTCAGAATCTGATTTAATCTGTATATTCAGTACTGGATGTCACAGAAATATTAGCATTCTACCTTTGTTAATGCGAAGTGTACCTTCTCAGGAACAGACTATAGGTACAGTCTAACAAATTTTTTAATTTAATAGAATCTCTTTAATTAATTGTTATTACGAACAATTTGGAATAAGTTAATTGCGTAATGATTGTACACTAAAGGTGGACCGAAATATCTGTAATGTAAATAATTTTTTTTTAAATTAAAACATAAATAAAATATTTAGCACAAATTAATATCTTTATAATTATATGTGTTAAATAAAGGACCTAAGCCCGACCTAATCAAAGAACTTAATTAGAAAAGTCTTTCGATAATATCTATAGAATGATCAGTTATCGAAGAGGGTTGTTATATAAAAGAACAATATCTCTCCTATTTAGATATAGCTAGAGGCCTAGTAACATGCCTAATTAAATAAAAATTTTAAATTAAGTAATGATCTTCAATATATTAATATGGTATATCAATATAAAATCAATATATTCAATTGTATATATCAATGTCTATAATTTAGATTTTATACTAAGAACTTTGAAGAACTTTCAAGAAAGCCAATTGTTATATATGTTCATTTTTATTAATATATAATAAAAGTCTTCTCTTAAATGTCTTAATAGTCTTAAAAAGAATGTATGTGTGCATGAGCAAATATTAAGGTAAATAAATCGGAGAGATATAATTATGCCAATTATGATTTCATCAAATAAGATAATAAAATAAGAACAAAGGATTGAGTCAAAAGTTTATTAAAACTAATAATAAATTATTAATGAAGTGAAATGAATCTTGTCAAAATCATGAAAAATTTACTCCATTAAACGAAAATTAGCCAGTTTTATGCCAAGTGTAGAGTGCTTTCTCGGATGCCAACGAAACCAAACACAAATTAAGAATTCTTGCAGATAGTCTGTGTTTTGGTATATGGAAGATGCTCTTAAGCTGTTGCCTTGCTACTTCATTCTGTGGTCTTCCGATGAACACGGTAAACTGGTAATAAATAAGAGGTACAAAATGCAGCAACACTTTGGAGATGAGCGAACAAATTGCAACCAAAATAACTTTGGACTTGATTATTACATCTGCGGTCTTTCATAGGTTCAAGGTTATTCTTTAAGGTATGTGATGAGAACACAGTTAACGTTTATATAAAAAAAGGAATAAAGCACACAAAATGTATAAGTAACTATGAAAGAAAATAGTATATGATATAGTTCTTTCAAGACACGCGAAATTATTTCTAATGTCAGTATATACTTATATATTTATCTATGTATATATATATATATCATGTATATTGCGTTTTAAATAAATAAATTCATTATTAACATTTTGCAAATGTTAATTTATGTTAATTATTTTCCCTGTTTACAAAATTTTATACCAAAACAGTGTTTACATTTAATTTACCTAAAATTAAAAATTCCAGGTTTCAAAATATTATTCCCAATTTTAAATATGTCGCAATTAGTTTCTATTATGGCATTCAATTTATTTATACCACATATATACCGTATATATTAAATATGAGCAATTAATTAATTCGTTGAAAACAATGTTAAAAATGCTTAGAAAAAATTTTAAAAATTAATTTATACGACCATAGATGTACAGAGGTTTCATGTACGAATAATAAACATATAATTATAATGATCATTTCACCACAAAGTGAAATTTTAAAAATTAATTTATACGACCATTGATTTACAGAGGTTTCGTATACGAGTAATATGTTAAACATATCATAATGATCATTTCAACACAAGGTGGTCAAATATTGATGATACTTTTCATTATTGCTTTATTTTAAAATGATCCTTCAACCCAAATATAATTAATATTATGTTAATCTGAAGAAAAATCTGAATAGATGATAATTCTTGTCAGATCACAAAACTCATCTGTACCAAATTGGTCAAAAATCATACCACTTAACTATAATAATTAGAGCGCAACCTACACAGTACTACGGTATCGTTACTTATAGATCACTGCTTAAGGGTAAGTCATGTAATCAAATTTTGTGTACCCACTAATGATTTTTATCGGAGTTTTGACAATCGGAGTTTGATAAGGGAAAAAACTGTACTTCACCACCACATCCATTGGCCATCTCTGTTTAAATGGGGATCTAAAATATTTGAGGTCTTCTTTCTAACTGACTTAACAGAGTTATCATAGCTTAAAACCAGGTACATAGCTACGCGTCACGTCGCGCATTATCAAAAGGACACCGTTCGTGTACTAGATGCTTCAACTAGATCCTTAAATGTGGTCTGTTCAGTAACTTTCATTACGGACGAGGTCTCATCCGTGGTATCACAATGGGCCTTTTGTTGTGGTGAAGTAAGGTTTGGTGTACAAGACAGTCACTACAATCTAACTTAACCTAGGTTAATACGGTTAGCTGTAAGTGTTACACAGAGACCTCTCCATATCTCGCGCTCTCGCTTAAACGTACTTTAACTTTCAAAGTATAAAGTTCTCCAATATTTTAAGCGTATTTCAGCTAATGATAGACGTAAGCGTAACAGGTGTTCAAATGTAACCTTTTCCCAGCTTTCACATCACTCAATCTTGTATGAGTATACCGATAATTATTAAATATTTAATATATCTTATCTTTGTCATATTTTGTTTTTATAATCTCATAACAAGAAATTCTAATAATAAATATAGAAATATTATTAAATGGAGTTGTGGTAGTGTTTGATTTAACTACTCAAATATTTCGGATACTGCAAAATCTATATCCGTCATCACTAACGTTTAGATTCGTCAAGAATCTTGGTAGTTCTTGAAAGCATTTGTAATGAAGTATTGAAGTCAAGTATTTATACATATAATTCCGCATCTGACATATATTTTAGTCTACTATACATATATAAAAAATTTATAATCATAAACAAGTTACATATTATTATATAAGTTAAATTGAATTTTTAAAATATTTAAATATTTATTTTATTCTTTTCAGTTATGGTAGCTACCTTCGTACTCAAAAAAATCTTCAACTTTAAATATATTTTTCTCATTATACTTAGTGTTAGTTACGTCATCAAACAAGATTCAACTTACTTTCAGAAAACATTTAAAAAGGATTTAGAATATTGTGAAACCTGCTTTCAAACACAGACTGAACAATGCAGTGCATTTCTTAACACAACTCTTCCAACCGATAGTCTAATTCTTCGTTCATTTTATATACTCACAAACTGGATACGGCCGGATAAAGTAATACGTCATCTACGTTTGAAGTCAACCAAAATAGAAATAGTAGGCAAATACTTTAGTAATAGAAAGCGTTTAAATCAAATAAAAAATGATCTCATTTCAACTGATGCCTTAAGACACTACTTAATTAATGATGAAAGCATTGGTCGCTTTCATCTATGTCCACAGTTCGGACTCAACCGTTTTATCAACTATTTCCTACAAATACCTAATCAGTATGTGGAAGACAATACCTCTAACCGAGAGAGAACCATTTTGGTATATATGCTGATTCATGTTCAGCCGCTGATTTTACCATTACTGCAAGCTAATGGATTTCCTGTACCAAATATATATGCAACATGTGGTTTTAGTATATTTCAGTCAAACGCAGGTCAGTCAATGACGGCATACCGAAAATCACCTTTTGATTTGAAACTTAAGATCGCCAAACAAATTTTGGAGGCAGCTATTATGTTCTCATATGGTTTTGCAAACTTTCGCATCTATATTACTGATATGTCTGAAGATAATATATTTTATGATGCCACAGTTAATAAGGTTTATTTCGTCGACTTGGATACAATATTTGTCATCGACTCAGAATCTATAGGTCACGATGGAGTTCATCGTCATGATTTGATAGAATGTCATAATTGCTTCGCTTATTCACCAGATGATTTGTGCAGCCATAAACTAAGTGATATGAATTTATTTGCAGCTTGTCAATTATTACGTGATAATACGCATAACAGCTTCGGGGGATTTCTTAAGCCATATCCTGAAAATCACTCTACACTCTTTCCTAAACTGGCAGCTTTACTTGATATTTGTGTGGAGTGTCCGGTGCAAAAATGTCATAATCGTTTCGCAGTTACTTTACAAATAATTACTATTCTTGAGGAATATAGTAAAAATATATAGTATATATTTAGTATATATATATATTATATTTAGTATATATTTAGTATATATATATATTATATTTAGTATATATAGTATATAGTACAATAAATAGTAGAATAGTACAATAAAAAACTTAAAAATTCATTTTAACAATAACAAAAATGTTAATGTATTTAAGAAAGTTGTCAACATTTTGCTTTTATCATACATTATTTATTAGAACTTTGTTTTCAACATGTCCATATCATTTTGTAGGTCCTTCAATTCTTTGAGCATGCTCTTTGCTAATTTTCCTTCTGGTGTTTCGACAGGTTCATACAACAACATTCGTATTGATTCACGAAGCATCGACTCTGATTGTTGCAAAAGTTCCTGGAATTCAAATTAAAAAATTAATAATTAAAATATGACTTTTACTTGGGTTTTCATATATGCGGGGAGAAGGTTAGGTTAAATTGAAATAGTACTTTTGGATTTTTTATAAAATATATGTATAATAATAATATACAATAAATTCCAGATGCGGTGATCTACTCTGAGGACCTGCAGGTCAGGTTGTTATACCATAACTTGTATATTTTTCTTGTTACTCGTAGCCTTTTTCCGATTTAAATATAGGGTATTTCAAAAGTAGACTGAAATATACGATATTAAAAAAGCAGGCAGGCTAATACACATAAGTATAAATCCACAATCAGGCAGCAATGAAGTCTATTACAAGGTTTCACCTCTTAGTGTTCCTACACATAGAAATAATGGAGACAACAAGATAGCAGATGAGATGGCCGGAAAATTTTCCGAAGTAGAGATGAATAAGGTCACTGTATTAAGATAAACCACTGGGTGTAAATTACGAATGATTTGTGAACTAATCGAGAAGACTTTTGGTTGCTACATTTTTATAGTCTCGACTAGATAGGAAAAGTATGAAACATATTTTGACCTGAAGTTGGTATACCTACTGGAATTCTAATGGATACTATGTTGGTACATCCATACTTCATCGCTGATGTATTCCACGAACTGTACATGATAAATAGAAAGTGGATTTAATCGATAATTTTCTATGTCTGTCCAGGATCACAAATAAAATGGCTTTAATAACTGAAATATCATTTCTTCACTGGGTTAAAAGACAACGAGGATAGGATTAGGAGATCTGCTTAACTCATCGGGAAGACCAAATTGTTTATCTAACGGAATATGATATAGAAACACTGTTTATGATAGCTTGCCTTCTACTGCTATCTTCGAATACAATACAATGGGCAAAAGATATCTCCTAGTTGAAGATAAGATATTTGTAGTTACAAATACTCTCTCAACCTATCCAACCCTAAATTCTAGAATAAAATTTATATAAAAGTTGTAGCACTGCAAGTACTTTAAAAACATTTAAAAAAACTAATTAAAGACAAATGTTGACCAAATATAAATAGTAGGATACATTAAGAGGATCTCATAGCAAATTTTTATAAAAAGTGAAATGAATTTGCTATAAAGTATAGATATATGTATGCTTTTTTTTTGAAGTTATAAATATAACGATGCTTACCTTTAACTCCTTTTGGGATATCTCATTTTCATTAAATCGCATACGATGTAGCTCAGCTGAAGCATTACACAATTCGTATAGCGCGATAGCTTTAAGACGCGATATGCCCGGCTGAATAATTTGCAACACGTTTAAAATCTCTTGACAGAGTCTCACCTTTCTTTCGTAAACTTTTCGTCCTGGACGATGGGCCAGATTAAGTATAATAGAACGTAAAATTGCAGCTACATTTTGCTTAATGTCGATCATCATGTAATGATTACGATGAAAAAACCGATTCAGTTTTCCCAACAGAAGTTCGTATCTATAAATGTCATCCTTTGCGTGAAATATTTCCTCTTTTGCTCGTTCCAATATATTTTCCACAAAGTCTGTTTTCACTGTATGTTGACAGGTAAGACACTGCCATTTGTTGTTCTTTTTAACAACGAAACCATCACGTTTATTTTGTGCACACGGTGGGCAAATTAGACTGCTCATATGAGACCCCAGTTCTGTGGGATCTTCACAACGTGCGCAGGTACAGAAGAAGTATTTTCCCAACTTTAAGTTTTGACGACGTTCTTCGGTGCCCTGCAAAAAGTGTTATCTTATTTTAAATGCTTCATATTACAATAGGTTCAAACGTTTACTGACTAAGAGGACATTTGTGTAGCAGTTAAGTAACATTTCGCCTTGAGTGATGTCGCGATTGGCATAAACTTTCATTTTGTAATTATCATCTATAGCTACCACAGTATTGGTGACACACTGATGTGACATCAATGACGCATTTAGGTATACTGCACGCATGTATGATGTGTCTGGAGCACGTATTTCAAAGCAATTTACATCAACTATGCTACACAAACGCTGCAAGAGTTCTTCATCAATCGATTCTTCATCTGACTTGAGATAATTTGGTAGCCCCGAATTGATTATAGGTGTAACTACATTTTTCTTGATTTCGTCCCATACTTCAGTATTGCGTCGTTCCTCCAAATGTGCTTCAAGCTGTATAAATTTTTTATAACATTCAGCCGTTTCAGTGTTTTCCCGAAGTAGAAGACATTTAAGAACTCCGTAGATCTGACCACCTTTCTGCAGCTCAGAGGTTTTTAGTTCATTCATATCAACGAATTTGTTACAATCGTAGTCATTGTGTGTATTACAGTTCCCACACAGTGGAAACACTTTACATTTACTGAAATAGATTATTAATACAATTGTTAGTATATTTGTCGATCCTGTGGGTAGAAAACTACTTGAGTATGGCTTTTAGATCATTTTAGTTATTAACAAAAAATATTTATTTTATTAAACAGTCATGATGTATTAATAATGAATATAGATATATATAAATACTGTTCCTCGCTTCATTTTTTGGCTCTTAAGTCCTTTAAGGTGAATCAGACACGTGTTGGTTGTGATGTTAAAATGTTAATAGATTGAATAAGAATTATTTCAAATATGAGATATACTTAATTTATTCCCTTTCTGTTTGCTTAATTTATTGTTATTGATAATGATCTAATTAGAATTGGAGATCTGCTAGTGTTTTTGTTATTGGCTCAAATGAGCAAACACCTAAATCATCTCTACTGCTTTGTGACAACATGAAATTCTATATCTTCATTTTCATCCATTTAGAATATGAATAGAACATGTTCTTCAAAATTTATTCTTTCTGTTGTTGATGTCGTTGATACAAAATGTGATAATATTTTCCACCACTGCACCCTTTCTATCTATTTACTCATTTTTAATGGAGTCAAATGTAAGATCTTTCCAAACTCTAAAGATGTGCAGTATTTTGGAGACTTAATCGCAAAAACCTTGATCTTGAGATTATATTTAATTAAATTTTTAACCACACAACCAAACACAAGCACATACACTGCAACAAATAGATGCAGTGTTTAAACTATCTGCAATTTCATTTAGTCACGGATATTAATTCACATTTTAAATTAATCAATTAATCTCAGTATTTATATTAATTACTGAACTAAATATGAAAAATTGTCATTCTTTAAAAATATGCAATTAGTTTAATTGCATTAACCTCCTACACATATTTGAATATATACTATATATATTATATATATGTAGTTTATATTTAAATTGGAATAATCCTAATATTTGAGATTTTACCTGCAGAATTCATTTGCTAAGAGGAAGCAGTTGGAGCAACGTCGTTCGTCATTTGCCGATAAAATCAGAACAGGACATTCAAGCATAATAGTTTCTCCGGCTTTAATGTCTATAGCAGCTGTTAGATATCTATTTATTTAAGACATATATTTATTATTCTTATCTCAAAATTTATATATATATTTTATAAATATAGATACCGTCCCAATTCATTGTCTTGTTCGATTTTACACTTTTTATCGAATTCATCCATATTTCTTCTGCCCGTTAAATATATTTCCTTTCCACCTTTCAACTTATTATTTTTAGTTGATATATTTCACCGATTTACTTATTTGTATACTGAAATCTAATTATTTTTAAAATAGACTGCTAAACAGAACTTCACCAAATCGCAATATTAAGACACTGACGATCCGAAAACGCAGGCAGGCGACAGCAACGACATTTTCAAAAATGCAAAGCGTTTCATTTTCTGGCCAATTATTTTTGCTACCCTGTCGCTATATTTCTGCTCTTCATTAGACAGTATTTCGTTTTTGTAGCGAAAACAATCACTAAGGCATTGTTAATTTCATTGTAATAATGTTTTTCGCAGTAATACAATGTATTGGCCGAGAACGAATTAGTGAACTACTGCATTATGTGTTAAATGGTCTTAGTATTATTCCCTCAGAGTACAACCTTAAAATTAGACTATAGTACAGAACTTACCTCAGAGTGGAGCCAATCACTGTGACTAAAGTATATTTTTAATACTATAACTCACCTTAAACGAGTATAAGATATTCAGCCTTGTTAAAAACTCAAGTATGTACCTGACTAAAGAGTTTCTAGCATTAACATAGACAAAAGCTACCGGCACAGCGTCCTCCTCAAGAGTAACGGTCTCTTCAATTGTACAATTTTTCTTTCAATATGGAATTCCTTAGTACAGCAAAATGGTTGGTTGGAGATCAAATGATCCCTGGAACAACAACAGGTTGGTTGTAAAAAAAATATAGTCGATTGTAAAACAAACAAGCAACCTAAGCAAGGGCTTACTTGCCCAAAAACTCATTGGCTGTGCACATGCTGTTGGCTGTACAATAAGTGATTGGTTGTAATGCAAACGATCAGTTTTATATCCAGTAGTTGGTCGTACAATTTATTAAAGATTAATAAGTTATAGAACAACTCACTATTCAGGTGCCCCAAAACAGTACCAATATATTTTTCAAGCACTTATTATAATCTGCAAATTTTTAATAATAACTAAGAAACGTTTGAATCGTTTATCTCATTACATTGGTTCTTAAGATTTGCTTTTAGACTCATTGTATTACTCGGAGGTTCATTCATACTCATATAAATCTCGAAAGTTGCAGAACCATGCATGCTCTTAATGAAGCCAAACATGCAACATGAGCTATAGTCATTGAAAATATTCCATGCCACAGGTTAAGAGAATGTAGTGCAATGT